TGTTTTTGTGTCTAGTAAATGATGATCGTGTAGAGATGTGCCCAATGAAATTGTGCTGCAAAAAAGCTTGTTTTTACGAAAAGAACCCCCAACTTACTAGAAATACGTCTTACCTTTTCAATGCATTATAGTCACATATGCAAATTTTGAATGAAATTTCCCATTTATGTGCTTTTTTTCGTTTAATAGTAGTAAATTGTCATCTATCAACTTTTGCAATATGGTAATTACCTTAAATATTTTTGTAGTTGAGTTTAGTTGATCACATCGACTAACAGTTATATAGAAAATTAGTTAGTATAAAATACAGAGGAGACAAATATATGTTTGATTTAAAAAAATTATATATGTCAAACATAATACATGCAATATAATCATACATGCAAGAAGCTGAATTTTTCAGGGACGCCGACGAATTAAATATTTGCAAAATTAGAGAAAATAAGATATAATCAGATTGCTGAACTGTGTCAAAGTCTAAAACTAACTAACTAAAGCTCAGTCATTTAGCAACAATTGAAAGTGTGAAATAAACACTTCCGAACAATAAAATTATCCATTTTGAGTTACATTTCAGTATCAGATTATCAAGACCAATTATTTAATTTAGTAATTTCCGTCTAAGAGAATCCACTTCAATGGCGATAAGAATGACTAAATTGGTTAAATACTCAATCAATAAAACTGATACAAAAATGATATTAGAAGGTTCGTTTACAAATGCAAGATCGAATTCAAAAGTTACATTTTCAATATTTCTGTTCATTCGGCATTTTTTTTGCTCATTATAGGTAGAACACGTTGCCTACAAACCGAATTATGCCATACTATAATATTTCGAAGCAAAATAAACCGTCAATCTATGCACAGCAAATAATTCAATTTGTTCATACACAATACCATGGGAATATGATTAATATACTTTTGATTTAGTTACTGCAATTAATGAGGTGGCTTTAACAAACCATCAACTATTCCATGGCGACTTTGAACTCGTATAAACTTGTTGCATGCAGCCAAATTACAGGAATTTTATCAGTCGATAAATAAAAGTTGAAGAAATGTTAATGGGCAGGTTCAGTGCCTTGTAAATCACATATCCATTATTATGAAACGAAGAAAAATAAATTTGCCAACAAAACAATGTGTTGGTAACATTTTCGAATGCCAGGCAAAATAAACCAAGAAACATCTGTATTATTTCAAGAGTAAATATATTTAATTCAGTTTTGATGCGTGTAAACGGTATCAGATTTTACTGAATCGTTCCTCGTAGTAATTTATGATATTTTTAGTGATTTGAATACGTTTTCGTCAAACCTGAATAATTCATTTTTCGGTTTCTGTTTAAAACTTCCAAGAGGTTATTGTGAATTGTGAATGAAGTGCACATAAATAAATCCATCGATAAATGTTTTCTTATTTTTTACTTGTTCAAAAATTACAAATTTCTGACAACTATTAAGCGTTTCTTGATACTATGAATATGTTTAAAATAAATTATCATTAAGTAAAATAAGCGCCGTCCATGTAGACATGGGGTTTATTTCGGTTACTTTCTTTAGCAGCTGCGAAGAATTTTGTATATATACTATATATGCAGTTATAATAATAAGTTAATTAATTCTGGCAAATTTGGGTTTGTTTTCGATTTCGGGATAATGTGTTCGAATCGTTTCATTACCAGTTGATATTTTATTCCAGGCTCACCTCAAAAGCGAGATGTTTCATTTAATTGCCTGTAGATTTTGATTTATTTTATTAAGTGTATAATTTGTTTTGCGGATTTATGAAATAGGTAACTATATGAAGCAACATCGTAATAAATTCCGAAGCTGTTTAGAACCTACACATAAACATGTGTTCTTCTATAAGCGCTCAAACATAGAAAAATGATTGCATTTTGCGCTAATATATTTTTTGCTTTACACATTTCTATGCGTCTGTTCTTCATAGTCGGTTCTATATTTTACGCTAATAATGAGCCTGAAAGCTTTTTATTTGACATAAATCTATTTCGTGATAGTAGTCGTAAAGTACTGCAGGAAGTCATTTTTTCTGAGCGTACAAATTTAGAAGAAAGAAGAAAATCAGATGTTTGAACTTTCACAGCACTGCAATATATAAACAAAAACCTCCAGAAACGGAGCTCGTAAAAGGGTCCATTTTATGAGCAATTCAAATTAAACAGGTCAAAAATGTGGAAACATTAACGTTGAAAAAAGAATTGTGGGAACCACAAGGCCATACAATTAGGGCAAGGAACATTATTTTCTCCCTTGAACATTCGGAATGTTGATTTACGAAACGAGACATCAGAAAGTTGAAGTGAATATTATTTTTTACAGTGTGATGTATAGTTTAATGGTGAAACAGAATTAAATGTACCTACCATTTTTCATGTATTGTTTTACAAATGATTGGGCAAAAAATATGTTTGATTCCGGGTGTTTTCTATTCTCTAAATAAACATTTATGTCCTGGTTTTTGGAGAATCAGGAGATTGTACTATTTCTATAATGTGAATATGAAAAATTCCTACTGAGCCGTTAAATTAATAGTGAGAATTTTTTTTACGTAGGCTTTACCATTCTGTATATGCTGATATTAATTTTTAAAGTAAGGAGAAATCATGCTCTAGAGATGTAGAAAATTTTAAATTGGCAGACATGGATGCCAATGAGACATGGAAGCAGAACGCTCGCGAATTTCGCTCGAAGTCAATGAAAGTGCTCTCTAGAAAAGTCGAAAATTTTGAACTTCCGTCATCATCAAGCGATTTTGGACGAATTTTCAAAATCACGGGAAGGATTCCGATTATTGCCTGCGCAATAATCTGTTTACTAATTAGTTAATAGACTGTTTAAAATATTAATTTCTCAAAATTGAAAAACCGTAGACATTTGCGGATTCTGCATCAGCCATGATTTAGGCCAGTTCATGTTCAGGTCGCTGCCAATTCTCAACAATGGTTACAAACAGGCAGTCGAGAGTTTCGTGCAATTAAAATGAAAATGTCCCACTTTTGTAACCATTAGGTGATTTTAGACAAATTTTCAAAATCACCACAACCATTTCGGGATCATAGCAACCTTCACACCGAGCATTTGAAGATTTATTTCGCGCCTGCGGGTTTAAAACGTAAATTTCTAGCTCAGGGATTTTCCTCAAAGTGATCAAAATTGGCTTTGGCAAATGTGAAAGTTTCGAACTTCTGCCGTCATCAAGCAATTTTAGACAAAATTTAAAGTTTTCAGAAGCTATTCCGAGAAAAACAAAATAAATGCCGTCCATTATGTTCCAAATTGGGAAAAGTATCAAGTCGAAGAGCTGAAAGTTTCGAATTGCTACCATCACCAGGGCTGTTCGCTGAAACTTTCAACGTTTAATTAGAAATAGAAGCTGAAAATTCAGTCCAATTGTCTTGCATTAATATTATATGATTAAAAATTTATTAGTGAGCAAACATTGGCAAAACCTAGAATAATTTGGATTCATTTCAATGGGCTTTAACCGGAATATTGATTTAAAAGCATATTTTTATTCCACAGCAAGAATAAACATAGTCCCACTTTACACATATTATCTCTTACAAATGAGGCAGGAAGAAAACGGCAATCTTGTATTATTACATCCAGTTTATTTAGATTGAACTAGAAAATGTTGACATTTTATTTGCACGAGGATAATGTAGGATTTCGTTAGTTTTTTAGAGAAAATTGACTAAATATCGCCATTTTTTAATGGTATGAACCGGACAATGCCAATTGCAATACTTACTATCAATCTATAATACACATAAATATGATTTGAAAGGTTCTGGAAAAGGTTTGCACTGCTAACGAAAACTGCCTTAAGTCTTTTCATTTTTGGACAAAAGCATTCATTAATAAAAAATTGAAAAAGCAAAGAGTTCTAAACTATTAGAGTTTCGGAAACTCGATTGCTTTTTATGAGTTTAAACAAAAAATGTATGTTTCAACGTTCCTGCTATAAATCGACTTCAATACTCCCTACTTCATTAATATTTGAAACTAAAATGTCCACAATTAACCACATGTGTCAATCGAAACTCGAATTCAGGATCCATGTGTACACGTGTTGGGAATTCGTGATTTTACAGCATCTTTTTTGGCATTTTTATTTATTGAACCTCTTGAACAGGCGCAATTATTCTCAATCTCTAACTCGCATGCCCTCGCTGAATTTTCTTTATAAGCCTATTTTGATCAAAGGCGATTTTTCACCCTTGATGTTTTTTATACTTATGTTACGCCATTGGCTACCCTATCATTACGTATTTGCTAATGAGGCTTCTTTAAATTGCGTCATTCCTCGCAAGTAACTCTAAAGAAAACCAGTGGGTCAACCATAATGGCTTAGCAGTTCAGTTCGTACCTACACCGACCGTCTAATTCAACGGGGAATAAGTAGATCGGAAAAATAAAAACATTAAAAAACGAACTTTTTGTACAAAGATAACAATTTTCCATTGCGTGTCACGCGCTCTGTTAACGATTAACAAACGATCAAAAGTGAGATGAACAGCAATTGGAATTTGTATAGTTTGCAGTCACTTATTGCGTCCGTTCAGGTTTTATATTGGCTACGTTGGTCCTGAGCTGTAAAATGGACAAAAACAATTTAGTAATTGTTAGCATATCATTCACCATAAAATACATTTTAAATTCGGATCAAACCAACACGCGGTGTAGGCCAACAGAAATCGCGATTTGTTTTACTAGTTTCAAAGTGTGACAAGTGCGCGTCGGTCACGCAGTTCAACAGTAGTTTTTTGGAAATCCACAGATATAGTTTTTAATTTTGAAAACTTAAGGTATAAATAAAGTGATTCTAACTAAACCCATTGCAGTTACATCAGTATTGTAGCTAGTGAAAATCACTTCAAATTTTAGCCTACATATTGACCTAAATAGGTTTAGCAAATGTTTAAATGATATCAAGAATCAGAGGAAAATGTGTGTTTTTTACACTACGATATATGAAATTATGAAAACTCTATGACAAAATAAAATTAATTGCATCATCAACGGAAAAGTTATATAAATCACTCTAACTTCTTTTCAATTTCAATTAAAGTGTCTTCATCTATTTCACATAATTGTTTTTAACTGTTTGATGATTTTCATGTAAAGTTTACTAGGTATAACACCTATTGTGCGGTAGTAAACACGCGCGAATTGGCTCACGAAATCATTTCATAACTTTTTGTTCTAAAATTGAAAGTTTGGAGAGTGATAAGTAATTGTTTCTTTTCCAAGAACATTTTAAAAAAATGTGTAACTGATGTTTGCATAATGTAAGTAATTATCGATTATCTTTAGTATGAAACTCGTAAAACAATTTAGTCAACTTAAGTTCATAAGATCAAGAGTTGCATTTTTCATATCCAAATCGAAGCCATTAAGATAGATCAATAACGGCTAATATCTTATTGTTATCTAGAAAAATATTGAAGTGCGTTGTGCTTGATAACTGGAACTCGGTATCTAATCATGACATACTGAGACAACAGAAAAACAAACAAAGTCTACAGAAAAAAGTGCATTAAACAGGTGAACATGAAAACTTTAAAACTCACTTTAAAACACCAACCATTATCATGTTTAACAGCTAACAGGTCAAATGAAGAAGTAAAGCTAATAGGTAAATTAACATAAAAGGTCAATGAAAGTTTAAGTTTCTTTCAACCAAAGTCCACTTGTTCAAAAGGCTGGTGATTGAATACAAACAATTTTATACAAAGCAATAGGTAGAAAATTATTTAAGCACAGTAATTTTGGAATAACACTGTCAGTTTTGCCTATAAATAATAATTTATTAAATTCATTTCGATTTAAAAAAAAATCCGATAATAAATATGTGTATTATACAATAAAAGAAGAATCTTATTTATAGCTTCCACATGTAGCAAAACTACTGTTAAGCAAAACAAAACTAGGCAAATAGAAACATTTCTGGTTAAAAACGTTCAAAAACTATGACTCTTGCTGTTCAAGAAAATACTACAATATTTACTATTAGAAATTATATCTAAAAGTAATTCTGAGGCAATGGGTTACTCATCTGGAATTTATACTAATGAGAAACGTAATAGTTAAATAGTGTTTTTACAATCAACTTCTAAACAACGCTAATTAATTAATTGACTCATGAATTCAACATATATGCTGCTTAAGTTTAATTTTAAATATGCCAAGGAATTCCACTACATTCAAGTTAATTATTTTCCGTTACCTTCATACAACTTTTAGAGCAAACAGTTTTTGTCGAATATTATTCTGGTATAAACCATTGAAACTTCTTGAAATGTGAATCTTATTACACTTTCTTAAATTCATTAAACATTCGTATTTGAACTAGTGTTTATGTCCCAAAGTATCTTAACGGGTTTATTCGAATATCTACATTTGAAATTATTAAAATCAGTTGAACTGCATTTACTTATCAGTTTTCTTCTACAGTTTTCTAAGCAGTCAGTGGTTTAATATTAGTAAGAATTTTTTAAAGCCAAAAGCAGTTTGCAAACTTAATATGCAAAAACATTAAAAGGCATTACAAAGCTAACAAACCGAAAATAAAATATGATTAATCCTAATAGAAAATACCAACTGCACAGTTTCAGTGAATTATTTTTAGTCTGCGATTAATTTTATTAACATAGTGTTTATTGCTATTTATAATTTTTGTGCAATGTCACGGCATTGAAGAAACCAGACTTTTATTAAAATTGTCGAGATTTCTTCACACTTCATTGCCTTTAGTTGAAATTCCCTGAAACCTCTCTAGAATCCGAAGCTGTTTCATCTAACTGAAATATTCTTTAAAATTTTGAATTTACACTAAAGCGTGTGCAATTATCATCAGCTAATACTAGTTGATTATGCCAGTTCTATTGCAATAGTCAAGGCTTGCATCAGATACAAATTACTCGTTCATTATTGCAGTTATTTGCTGGTTGCTGGTCACTACTCTTTAAATTCATCGGTTAATCCGAGAGCAAATACTTTTTGGCTGTTTTATAGGGCCTTGAACGGTCAACGATTTTTGTTAGCATTCTTATTAGTACTGACTGGTGGAGTTTTTAAATCACATTTTTGCTTTCACAATACATACTCAAGAAATTGTTTGACCTCTTATTCTCCATAAAATGGAAACTTTGCTTTATTAATGGAGGAAAGGAGCATTAAACCTTCAAACCCTGGTTACATTTACTACTTACTTCTAGTATAGTAAGTATTTTGATTGACTTATTTGAAACTATCTCCAAGTGTGCTTCAAGAGTTTTCAGTTGTCTTTCATTTTATTCAGTTTGCGCAATTTCGTTTGCTCCATGTAGCTGCAAGTTTTTAAAATCCAACCGATATCAGCTCAAATTTTCACTAGTACCTATTTAGAGTATTTAGTCTTAACTTGCGTTAACAATATAAGAGTTAAATGAAGCTGCAAATGTATGTAAATACATTTTTGCATTATAACGACGGCTACCCAAAAACCCTAAGTTTCTCGGTGGTACGATATTCTGAGTTGCTTGATGACAGCGTTTTGGATTTTCCCCTGAACAAAAGAAAAGTAAAATTTCCAATTTTATGCTGATAAGGCTAGTGAAACTTTTGTCTACTGACTAAATGGCGTTCTAGGTCAATCAACATCACCTTTACACATCAAATGCTACATCTCAAGAAAAAAGGTGATTTGAAAGTTCGCAGCCTCCGCGCGCTGACCATCATTATGAATAGCCCGTGTTGATTAGCAAATTCTCGGTAAAATCGCTGCATAAGGCTTTTTTTCAGATTTATTAGTCAGTGTGATTCATTCATATTTACGCTATCTAACTGCATTTTTTTAAGCTGCGAGCACAAGCGGATTCCCCTTTAGTTCTAAACGTGCAACGGTGTTGAACGTGTGTATTCAACAAGGTGTTCTGTTGTTTAGTGTCGTGAAGCATTAAAGTAGAAAATATAAACAAATAATCTCCTAAACTGATCGTTTGTTGTTTTGGCGCGGAGTGAAGGTCGCGAACATGAAGTTGTTAGTTAAAAATAGTGTTGCTTGTTCTGATCAGTAAAAATTAGATCAATCTAATCTCTTCTTGCAACAATTACAGTTACTGACCTTGCAGCGGTTGCTGCTGTTTGGTTTATGGCTGGGTAAAATTAATTTTCGCAATAAATCATGATAAGTCTAATCATAAATAGCATTTAAAGGCCTGCTTAGAGTTATTTTTATATCAAAATTATGCTATTCTCACTCATATTCACTTTGTGAAACTTAAATCCACTCACTGAATATTAAATATAATTTTTCACTGATGGCTCCGGCGCCAAATATCCTAGACCACTAATAATTACTCCATATGCGAAACATAAAATAAAATCAGACATACACCGTTAACCGAATTGCTGCTCTAATTTTAATTTTGCATCTGAAATAATTTCGATTTCATAAAGAAACGAAGGCTCAGGTGGTTTCAACTAAACTGATCGTTTAGTCAGCATTTGAATGGTGAAAGTTTTTTTATTAAAATTTTTATACTGGTCTAGGCCTGGGTAACACAGAAACTTTTTAGGAGTTGGCGCCGCGCTAGGTAAATGGCTTGGTGCGCCAACCCAACGCAACGGCGCAGTAACTCAGTTGCTAGGAAAATGTTGATGATTTTGACTTGTTTTAAGATTTCTTTCAAGGACCATTTATTAAGAATATTTTTAAAATGTCTTCAAAATTTCAGAATTTTGCAGTTTCAGCCAAGTTGCTCTTTCTTCTAAATGCTCAATTTTATAAAGTTTCACTTAAAAATGCTGACACTCTTAACGTATTTTCGCCTTGTAAAAAGTGCTGAAATCCCTTTCCAGCTTCGAATTTGTAACAAAAATCAAATAATTTTCTATTAAAAAACGCACACAATAAAATTGGAAATCTCGTCACCTCCATGCCTCTGAAGACTGTAGAATTATAGTTTTTGAAGTTTTGGCTGAATTTTTTTTAGTTTTGCTTTTTATGTAGAAATAATTCTACTTAAAAACGCTCACTTTTGTAGTTTCACTTCAAAATACTGACGATCTGGGGGTCTTAAAATGGAGGCGAAATTACAAGATAGCTAACTATTAGTTTCTGATGATTTTCTTCTTTTGTGATAATTATGGGGTCTTTTCAGCCAAAAATGACAAAATTAATTTTGTTTGAAAATTCGCCACATTTATCGGTTTGCAGGGAACTTTAGAAAACCCATTTCAGCTTGGAATTTGGCACAAAAACCGAATAAATTTATTCAGTTTTTTACCGAAAGTAATTAGGATTATCTTGAAAAAAATTACCAAAGCAAAAGTTTCCAAAAAATGATTTGGAAAATTCACCACCCTCATTGCGCTGAAGATTTTTAAACTGCCTTTAAATTTTCAGGTCATTCCAGTTTTAACAAAGTTTCTATTAAGCAATTTTTTCTACACAAAAATCGTATTATTTTTTACTTTTGCTTAAAATACTGATAATTTTCAGGGATTTTCTGTGAAAAACTATAAAGTAAAGAAAGAAAAACGGCGTTCTTTTTAACGTTTTACAGTGAAATACTGGCAAACTGAATCTTTTATGCAAGAAAATGAAGAGATCGATTGTAGAAGAAAACTCGTCGACTTTCTTTGGACTCAGTTCTGTTGCTGGGAAAATCTGGATGACTTTTTTAAGTTGTTTGAACAAAGTAGTAAAATGTTACTCATTTGTAAAATTATTGCGACATAATCTAACAGGAAATTTTAAATATAAAGCAGGAACTGGGATTTTTTTGTTTATATCGTGTAAAGTTGTACTTACCTACAGTTTTAGTTTCAATTTAGGTACCCAAAAAATTGGTCAGCATAAACACTCAACATAATTTCCAGTATTCTAAAAAATCTGCGAAAGGAATTTCAGTTTCTACCTCACTGAAACTCATGAATAGTCTTCTAGTGATGAATCTTACATAGAAGGATTTTTGGGCTGTACAACAAAGCTGTAAAGTCCTGCAACTCAACAAACCATTTTTTTCTAATTCGACTTGATGTGATCTGAATAATTTCTTTTAACCTAGTGTCTTCTAGATAGCCTTTTGGTACTTAAAATATCTATAAACGCCAGCCGTTAAAAATATTTCAAAGGTAGACCAAACCAGTCTTATCTAAAACTTAATTCAATGATGACTCACACCTAAAATGAAAGTGAGTTTTTGTGTTACGGTTGGTTAATTTTCTTAACCAGGCCTGAATATCCAATAGACAATCTCTTAGTAGTTCACGGTCGTGTCTTTGTTTTTGGGCATTTAAATCTGGACTATTGGAAATTTAATACGCCGTCATTAACGGTGGTTTAAGAGAAACAATTGCGTAATATTCAGTATTTATATTTAATTGGCTTTTAATAAGGCTTAACAGTTGAGAAATGATATGAACTAATCGAAGGAAGAAACAGGCGAAAATGTTGTTCTTGTTCTTATTTGAAAATATGCCAGCGCGCAAAAGGGATAACTTTTTTTCTCAGGTTTTTCCTTAATTTTTAACATAACTTTCATTATTTCGATAACTAGGAGAAATTTAATAGGCCGATATGTAGAATTTCAACAAATCCACTGCATGTTACATAGCTAAAATTCCTCACGTTCAAAGGGCAAATATTTAACTGAGCTACAAATCTTATAAGAACTTACCAGTAAGTAATAATAAATAGACCTAAAGGCAATCGTTTTTTTAATGTAAAATAAAAACTAGTAAAATATAAACAATAATTTTATTGCATTCATTTGAGACAGTAGTTTTCGAAAAAATATCGTTGTTTTCTTTATCTGCTGGGCAAGTTAATTGTTGCTGGCTTAATTGCAATATTTTTAATAGCTAATTAATTGGTCTGTTGGTAAATTTTTCAAAAATGTATTATGTATTTTGGTTCATACATTATTTGAGTCGATTTGCCAATTTTAAAGTAATTAAATAAAATTTCCTTGTATTATACCAAACGAGTCAAACTGCAAAACTAATTAACTGAGACTGATATCTTGATAGATGTGAGTTTACGTTAAAGCTGTTAACAGGAGCAGTATTTACCTGTTAAGTTCATATTTTACAGCTTTTGACCAGCTCGTTTATAAAAGTCCAGCCATACATTTCACAGTTGTGATTTGTACTCAATACGTGAAAACGAAGAAACCACTGAATCAAATATTGCATTTTCATAATTGATCAGTTTAGGTGATTATCAAAGAGTCATAAAGCAGTTAAAAAATAACAAATGGGGGTTTATGGAAAGGAATGTGCATATAATTAGTTTTATGTATCTTTAAAACATTTAGTGACGCTCTAAACTGCCGAATTGGGCAATAAACGGAATACCGTCAAACGTTTATTAACCAATACGTAAACTTACCTCTGTAAACATACTAAATTGCACGGATATTTACATTAGCTATTAGTAAGCAGGAGACTTCGCAATGGGCACAGGCGAGTTATTTTCCTATTTGATGCTTTACATTGTAATTTTTTCGACGTAGTTTTATTTTTCTGAGACCAAAATTCTAGACCAAGATTCTTGCAAGGAAGTTAAATACAGATCATTGCAAAGCCAACACATTCCGTTGCTTTGTCAATAAGCACTTTAATTATTTGTCACTGTTAAAAGTGGCTTGATAAATAATGCAGTAAAGATATTTCAATAGTTCTTACGATTTTTTTAAATTTCTTCTTCTTCGTTTACCATATTTGATTCGTAGCATCGTCGATTTGAATCAACAGCCAGTGGAGAAATATATTTTGGATTATTTTGACTAAAATCAAGGAGAAGTTACCCAAAATATATTATCCTTTCACTTCAGTACACTGTAACCTTGTAATCATTACCCATTCCTATTTCAAGCGCAAACAAAAAAAAAAGTAGTTCGCCCATGATAGTGAACCATCAACGGAAAGCTGATAAAAATAATTAGATTACATACAAACAATAATGCCGATCAAGGAACAAAGAACAGAAGTAGTGCACAGGACGAACCGCGTTTTGATGTTAACGTGATGGATAATTAACTTTTAATTGACGAAGGTAAATTGGCGATGGCGTTGAGTGAAACGCAAAACGTGGATAAGCAAAGAACTGCCAGTTTCGGTCTTAACGGAATAGTGGCCGTGATCGAGAAGAAACGAAAAGACTTTCCCGGACAATTGAATCTGGACGGGCTGGAATATATCGATGAAGTTCCAGAACAAAACAATAATAGTGAGAGAGTTATGGAGACTGATATTGATGGAGTGTAAGTTGAAAGTGTTTCAATTTAACAAATAGGCAGTAAAGTGTAAGTCACACCTAGTTGAAACTGTTCTCGTAGATTCTCTCGACTGATTATTAACGTGTGTTTAAAGCAGGCCATTAATTCATTTGACTTGTGTGTGATGTCCATGCGTTTTTCCTAATTCTGATAGAGAGGTCGCTCTGTTCCATCAATTAGCTCTTTGCAGTGATTTGGAGTTTTGTTAGGATGCTTCCTTGAGTCCAACTTGTATCTATCTAAAGTATTTTTATATTATCGGTTTTCAGTGCAAACGAAAAACAAATGAAAAATTATTAAATAATAATAATATTTATTGAAGTATACATTTTGCCACAAAAGATGAGTGCGCTGAAAGTCTTCCTAAAATAAATTCCTAAAATATTGCATAGCAAACTGCTTTTTAAGTTGCTAATTTTTTTAAAAATAAACCCTTAGAATAACTCAACCTGTTTTTCAATATGCTCTATCGAATTTACTTATTTTCTCTGCTTAATTGTTTATTTTAGTTAATTGTTAATAATTGTGTAAACATAAAATATATGTATAAAATAGAAGAAACAGAGAAAGTCTGTTAATTCACTAAAAACCCTACTAGTTTCAATATTGCATTTTCTGAATATTGTTTAAAATTAGTGTTTTATTCTTGGGGTCTAATTATCTACGCACTCAAGGAACGGTTTTAGGACAAAAAAATCAATTTCAATCAAATCAATAAGTGTTGGATTGTCAATGGTGTAACAAATTACATAAATATACGACATAAAAGGCGATTAAACGTTAATGATGAATTCGAATGATGCTAGTAAATCGATAATAGAAAGAAATCAGTTGTATGACAATTTAATGTGAAATTACGAATGAGAAATCAACTCATCTCAACTGTCTCAAAATATAATTTTTGCAAACCAACTATGCACGTTCTATCCACTTTTTTTGTTTATATAAAGAATATAAATTTCACTGCCCTTGGAAGAATAAAGAACAAGGAAATTAACTATTATTCAAAAGTATTCAACTATAAGTTTTAAACGTGAAATGTATATAAGGTGCTTGGTAAGCAGATGCTTTTCTTCCAGAGGGTGATAGTGCAAGTAATTTTGGATATATTTCGTTAATATAGCGTGTTCCGAAAAGGCTTAGTTTCCGATATACAGGGTGATAACGTTTTAATTTAAAAATTGTTACTTATTTAATATTGCGGAAGCCGTTTAAAAAATTTTAGTCAGTGACCATAACTAGTGCAGAGCCACTTTTTAAATAAAAACCCGATTGCGCTGGACAATAAATCGACTCGATGACGAACAAATTGAACAGAAACTTGAAAAATAATATTAATTTTTAGAAAAAATCAGTGGCGTAACATTTTTTCTTTAAAATCATCTACAGTCGTGCCGGTGCCGACGCCACTGGCGAAGCTTTTATCACAAAACATGTATTGCTGTTAAGTGCCTAAGTCTGTAAAATTTCATTAAAGTATTCCAAGGGGTTTCCGCAATATTAAAAAATATAATTTTTTAAATTAATACTTTAACACGCTGTAGATCGAGGACTAACAGTTTTCAGAATATGGTCTATTAAAGAAATATATCCAAAATTACGTACACTATCACCTCCTACAAGGAATGCATCTACTTACCAGACACCCTGTATAAATTCTTCCATAGTTAAACTGTATTTTTCTGCATCTTAATATTGTTTTGCTAAGCATATTTCCTAAATTCATTGTTGCTTTGGACGTATGTTCCAACATGTGTAGTGTAACTTGCTTACTAAAAATCGATTCCAAAGTTTCATTAGCGAGTTGGCAAAAGTATTTGAAGCAAAAAAGCATTTTTATGCGCAATTGTTCATTGAAAAATTAAATAAACCATAAAATATATCGCAAATATCAAGCAAGCATAAAACACATGCCAAATTTCATTTTTTTATTCGTTTCGTTATTTAAGGTAAATGCTTCATTTGAAGGCCGCAACAGTTTCTACATCGTTTTTTCTTTTGGTTCTTAATCCAGTATTTTATTTTGCTTTTGTTCATAAGAGATAGCTATGTTAAAAAATTGTCAAAGACGCAATTCAATCGGGTTTTAAACGACTGCAGTGGTACCGAAAGCTGTAGATATGGTAAGAAAAAGTGTCTAAAAATTTCAAAAAGCGGCTATTTGGAAATAATGTTTTATATATATTATGTACTAAATTAAATAACAAAAAATGGCGTCTAAATGTAAAATAACCAGAAAGTCACGCGATACTCCCACCACTTTGTTACCCAAATATCTATTTTGAAATTCGTACTACCAGTGTTATTGCATTTATAAAAAAATATTATATTGATTAACGCAATAAAATCTTATTATCGCAAGTGCAGCCGCATTAACCGAATCTGTCGAAATGAGAAGAATATGCCGTAAATGTGTCTCTCTGTAACACATGAGGTACTTTTGGAAAGTAGCCTAATTACTTATTAATATTTACTTAAATGTGGCACATCGTTGGCAAGATAAAGAGAAAATGAAACATGCATTCAGGTTCGTA